AGTCCCCGTAAGAGAAAGAGAGTTAATCCAGGAGCCAGTTTAAGACATGCTGAATGACGACATAATCCAGCCTTCAACCAGTCCGTGGGCCTTTCCTGTTTTACTGGTTAGGAAAAAGGACGGAAAGTTTAGGTTTTGCGTGGAATACCGGCACCTGAACGCAGCGAAGAAGAAAAACGTCTATCCATTACCCCGTATCGACGGCACGCTAGACCAGCTGCGCCACTCTCAAAATTTTTTGTCGATTGACCTGAAGAGCGGCTACTGTAAGATCAAGACTACGAACGGGACCGAGAGAAGACAGCTTACGTTTCGCCGGATGGACTGTACGAGTTCAAGGTGATGCCCTTCGCAGGATGCACGGCGCCAGCAACGTTCCAGCGTGTCATAAATAGAGTACTGGCAGAACAGAAGTGGCAAAACTGTTTCGTCTACGTTGACGACGTCGTAGTGTTTTCAAGCGACTTCGACGAGCACTTGCGACGACACCGCGCGGTTCTCCGAGCCATACAGACCGCTGGAATCACCCTCAAGCCGTCAAAGTGTCGGTTTGCCTATGATGAGTTCAAGTTCTAGGCCACATGGTTAGTAACGAAGACGTCCGCCCAGATCCAGAGAAGAATCACACCGACACGGCATTTTCAGCGCCGACAGACAAGTAGCCGTGCGAAGGTTCCTTGGATTCTGTGCGTACCATTTACGCTTCGTTCGGGATTTCGCAAATAGTTCCGCACCGCTCACAAACCTCCCGAATGGCGCCGAGAAGTTTGAGTTGGCTGAGGAGCAGCAGCAGGCATTCGACGAACTAAAGCGAAAACTCCAGACTCATATTCTTGGTCTCTTCGATCAGAATGCAGAAACCGAGATTCGCACGGACGCTAATAACGCAGGACTTGGCGCGGTACAGGTTCTAGTGCAAGAAGGCACCGAGCAAGTCATCGCCTATGCAAGTCGCACACTGCTTAATGCGGGAAGAATTCACTCCACAAATGAATAAGATCGTTTTGGGGTCGTCTGGGCAATCACGAAATTCCACCCGTACTTGTACGGGAAGCCGTTGCGCGTAGTAAGAGACCATCACTCACTAGGCTGGCTTGTGAACCTCAAGGACCCTGCAGGGCGCCTCGCTCGACGAAGTCCCTGACTACAAGAGTTCAACATGACTGTGGTCTAGAAGTGAATCCTCAAACACAGCGACGCTGACTGCCTGTCCAGAGCCCCTGTCGAGACAACGTGCGGCAGCTGTGACGATAATGACGACGAGCCATTGTTTGGCGCAGCCAGCACCAATGACATAACTGAACATTAACGAGGCGATCCTGAGATGTGCGCACTAATAGAACACCTGGAAGGGCGCGGGAGTACAATTCCACGTGTTTTCAAACGAGCCGTGGAGACCTTCTCCATTCGGCAAGGTGTACTCTACAAAGAGAACTTCAGGGACAACAACTTACCGTGGCTGCTGGTAATCCCGCCCGACATTCAAGAGGAGATATTTAAAGCATGTCGTGACGACCCGACGTCGGGACACCTTGGTTACAGTAAGACGCTGGCCCGTATTCGTGAAAAGTATTACTATACTCCGCGACAACTTTTCTTGGCAATGCAGTGGAAGGTTCAGGCCTGCGTCCCCTCTCCCATTTTGAGTGTACGCAGGCTCTCCTCCTCCCCCATTTCCGGGGAAAGGAGGAGAGCCCGCGCATACTCAAAATGGGAGAGGGGACGCAGGCCTGTACCTTCCACTGCATTGCCAAGAAAAGCTGTCGCGGAGTATAGCCCAAGTTCCCCTAAAACCGTCCACCTCTATCCCCGATTATGTCATGAGAGCCAACGACGAAGAAACCCGTCAACGAAGCCGGCAGGTCTCCTGCATCGAACTTCTCCGCCAACTGCACCTTTCTTGCCGATCGGTATGAATATACTTGCTCCTTTTCCGCAGTCGTCGCTGGGAGACCGTTGGATAATCGTAACCTCTGATTATGTAACACGTAACGCCGAGACAAATGCTTTTCTGTCGGAGACTGCTGCGGAAGTTGCCAAGTTATTTCTGGTGTCCGTCGTCCCACGTCGTGTCGCTTCTCAAGTCCTTATTACAAATCGGGGGTCTTCGTTCATTGCGCAGCTTATTAAGGAGAAACTTTGTCTAAGCCACACCGAACACCGTCGGACCACGGCATACCACCCGCAGACCAACGGACTGACGGATCGGCACAACAAGACCATCACCGACATGATCGCTATGTACGTCGAAGTTTAGCACAAGGCATGGTACGTACGTCATGTTTGCCTACAACACTGCAGTTCAAGAAACCACCGGAGTGAGTCCATTCCAGCTGGTGCACGGCAGAAAGATGACAACGATGCTCGACGCAATGCTACCCCACGACCCAGCAGACGACGGAAACGACGGCGTCGAGTTGATAATCCAACAAGCAGAGGAAGTACGCCAGCTCGTACGACTGCGGATCCAGGACCAACAACGTGTTGACGCAGGACGATACAACCTTCGGCGTGGCGACGTCCACTTTCAACCCGGAGACAGGGTGTGGGTGTGGACACCCATTCGTCGCCGCGGTCTCAACGAGAAGCTGTTAAAACTATACTTCGGACCATACAAGGAGCTTCGTCGACTAGGGGACCTGAACTACGAGGTGATGCCCGACGGAACTTGGACTTCATCACTGGCGCCATCCACGACCGGAAGTCGTCCACGTCGTGCACCTCAAGCGGTACTACGCTCGATAGGACTGTGAACTGTTTTCGTACTACGTTCAATAAAACCGTGTTCTGCCATTTTTGTTTTTGCTGTTTTGTTTTGTGGCACGTTGCATTAAGGCAATGCGCTTTTAAAGGGATACTTCAAAGGAACTTGAGACATACCCCTCGTGTCCAGAAATAGGCTCAATATGATCCACATTCTCCGTAAATGACAATCGCAAAGTCCCGTTGACAGTCCCATGACAATCATGTTGAATGGGGAGTTCCTCCCTCCCCTTTTCTCTTGCGCTGGCTGTAGAGCTGTCGGGATGACGTCAGGTTCAAAGTCTATATAATTCTAGGCGAGAGAGTTGCCTTCACTACCGTTCAAGGTTCCAAGACGGGCATTACAAAGGAGGCTATAGCGACATCAACCAGGTACTCTTTGCTAATGTTTTAATTTGTTTTAAAATTCCTTTTCGTGCAGTTCTTAACAACATATTGCTGTGTCCGATGTGATACTGCTCCTTTGAACACGTATAGACCGAAAGCCAAGCGCCGAAATGTCGTTGTATAGTGTTCCTTTAAAGGAGAGGGGGGAGTAATGGCACGCCCATTGTCGAGCTAGAGCATGCGTGGCTGAATGGTTACCGTGCTTGGCTGTTGCGCTGACGCTCCAGGTCTCATTCAAAAGAGCGGACTCTTTTATTTCTTCTTTCAACTTGGCGTTCTCGTAAGTTTGAGTACCTTGTTGTCTGATTGAGCTACAAATGTTCTACGCGCCGAACGTTCTACGCCGAATGTTTCAGACCCACGCGTGTACGAAAAGGCGCTCCGCGTGGCGAGCCGGAGGCAGTCTCGTTCTTGCGCTCGATCGTGCTACTCTGCCGACCTTCGACGCATTGACGCAATCTCTTTGTATTTTTGTTTTCGGCCCAAGTTCTCCTTATTAAACGTTCATCTGTCATTCATGACATATGATGCACTGACTATACTATGCACTGACGATCCCGGCGCACTGACTATACTAAAAAAAGATTTCAAATGGTCACACTCAGAACAAACCTCTTTAAATTGTCCCCTTATTAACTATCCGTTTCTAAGTAGAATTCCCTACCTGACAACATTGAAACTACCTAAGAATCATCTAGCTTCCGCGCTTAACTTTCAACTTTCATGAACACAAAGCAACAAGTCACTTTTCTTCTTTTTTGTGTGTTTTATTAATGCGAAAGCATTAAGTGTCTCATGGAGCGCCGCCTGAATTGCTCGCTAGTGAACCAAGAGTCGTCGCGCACCCACCCAAACACAAAGCAAAAATGAAAGAGCCGGAAGCATTTCTGTCTCCCTGTAAATTCGGCCGGAAGTGACGCGCACACCCTGTATAGCAATGTGCTCAGGTAAACTGCCATTGATCAGAAACTAAGGTTGGCTGCTACACAGAATGTCTATGACAGTTCGGCCGTGGTTTATGCGAAATGGTTCTACTAGGAACCGCACCGTGGCGCCAATAACTCGTCGCACACTTTCAACTGCCACATGTGTTGACAAAAAAAGTCAAACGGAGCAAAAACTAAATTACCACTCATTCTAATTGGATAATATAGGCAACGGTAAGATATCTCGAACATATGACAGATTTTAAGAATAACAAAAATCATTGGTCCTTTGCGTTCTCTCCGTGGCTACAGTAAACATTCTGTAATTTATTTTGTTGCCAACGAATTTCGTCTGCGTGTCATCTGCTTTCTTTCGCTGGTCGGCTACACCATAGGATATACCCAAACGTTACTCCCGCGCCATCTATCACTACGCGCGCCAAACACGCGTCCCACAACCCGACTCGGCGTCTGCGTCGCCGTCCGCCGTTGACCCTGGCAAGTTTTCTGGCCCTATATTTTACAGAGAGAGAGAGACAGCTACACTTTGCAATTTAATAAGAAACACCGGCCTTTGAAATACACATTTCACGAAAAGATTAGATTGCTACGTGCAGGGGTCGATTTTTATGTCCATTTTAGATCGAGCCTGGTGACTTGTGACACTTATATATTTCGCCTTATAGAGATTGTTCCGCAGAATAGAACAGGTGCCACGCTTACTTCTACCTACAGGTCTATCGTTGTGATATCAAGAAATGAGCCACAGTTTGCTTGGTATTTATATGACACAAATATCATGGCTACATTTACTGCCCACGAGTCTTTGTTAGACACATCTTCCCTTGGCATCGAATGTCTAAAATAACAATTAAATATGTGGGGGTAATAACTATTATAATGAAAAAGGCCTTTCCACCATAGGGATGGGATGACGTAAGCTTTCATGGGTCATCTCAAATACCCACTCCGAACATGGATGCGATGGCGGCGGATGGCATCATACTTAACCAGCACTACGTTCAGCATTTGTGCACGCCATCGAGGTCCTCGCTTATGACAGGCCGCTATCCCTACCTTACAGGTAAAGTACACTGGGTGACGTTTGGCTGCATGTGTAATTAGAAGGGCAGAAAATCGTCTAATATATCGGGAAAGAAACTACCATTGGTTTGAAGTGTTTTTTTCTGGATTAATATTTTATACGCTGTTTGCTAACGCGCAATTTCAGGTAATCCTGATAGCATTAAAATCAGGTGTAACATTGTCAGTTTGTAGTTTCTTTTTTATTTTTAAGGAACTTTATTTTTCATTTCGACACATAAATAGAGGAAGCAAGAGAAAGAAGCTGTGAGAATAGCTTGACGGAGCCCCTTGCTCCCTTCTAGTGGCATATCCAGAAGTCAAAACAAGGCAACGGCGAAAAACACTAAGCAAACCGACATAACAAAGTAAGTTAGAAAAATTAAGCAGGTTTCAGAAATCGATTCATTCGTTTTCGCCCCACACTAGTTCAGTTCGTAATTCCTGAACTGTAATAGAAATAATATCAATCTTATTTTTTTATTAGGATGCTCAATATAGTAGGAATTGTGTATTTAAGTGATTGCATTGAATAGTTGTTATGGCACAGTGGCACAGACCAATGTTTCGCCGACCGAGTTGGGTAGGAAGTTGCATGTGCTTTTAGCTCCGCAAGGTTTACCAAACTATCCCCATTTATTTTATTTTCTAACTTAAAACTGATCGCGAGTCTATACTTGTACATGCTGTAAACAGGAAGTATGCTATTTTTTATGAACAGAAACTGGGTGCTAGAGTAGTAAGAAGCATTCTAACTCACAACATAATAGGAAGATGACCGCTAAGGCCGTAACTAATTATTCCAGACCTTATATTGCTTTCCTCGTAATTTGTTATGAACAGGTCGATCAACGTTTCTGAAGTAACATTTAGCCTACTTGGTAAAATGACTTCGCTCTGAGAACCCTTCATGATTATTAAGTTGTCTAGTTCTCTTTTGAAACACTATTATTTAGCATGTTCACGTGAAAATCACCACCAGATATAATGCTGAGCTTTTTTGTATTAGCAAACTAAAACAAATAGCAAATAAAAAATCCAACCAGGGAGCCAAAACGCCACTGGGAAGTCGATGAATGACATTGACAATACCGTGCTTAGTTTGCAGGGACAAAGCTTCATAGCCCTTGCTGATGCTAAACGTAGGCGACAATTGACACTTAATGCTTTCCTCAATCAAAATTGACACACCTCCCCCTCGGTTTTTAGTGCGATTGGGAACAAAGACATTCGTAAAGCTGTAGCCTAAATACGTCAGTATATTCCGCGTACCAGGTCTCGGAAAACATGATAATGTCGAAATCAACGAACTCAGCAAAACAAATCACTCGAGATCAACACTTCTATTTTAGCTGATCGAATATTAACACGCAGACAACGAGTCGAAAAAGAAAACTTTTTTTTCCAATACATGTTTCAAACTGGGGCGGTAAAACGTAATCTGAGGTTGCCATGAGCAAAAGTAGTGCCAAAAAAAAATGTGATAACCTGATAGTATATTGTGCTCTGAGTTTCGCTAATAAAGTAAACAGTATAGCTGCGCATTATGAAAACTGAACTGGCATTTCAAAAATTAAAGGAAGATCTACGGGTGAATCCTGAGAGGCATGACCTTCGGGAAATACCACACACGTCCCAGTTTGGGGAATGCTAAAGCTGACCCCTTCACCGTTCTGTCTTGGCTTTCGTTTTTGCTTCTTCTACATTTTGCTGCCTCTTTCTGGTTTAGTACGGGGTCAGCGTGAGCGTTTCCCCAAGGGTCATGCTAATGATTCCCTGATGATCCACCACTCCATCTTTCTTTAGTTTCTACCGCCGAAAAAATGGCTCGCCGAGCACGCTTCGTCCCAGCGTCTGTCGCACGCAGACCTGCGTCGGCTTGCCGCTCCTTGTAAGGCATTTCGCCCAGCCGACCTTGGCGCTGCTTCTCCTCCTCTTTCACCCTCGCCCGCCTTGCGCTGCCTGACGCTGCTTTCGCTGTTCACCGGCTTCCCTTGCGTGCATTGGCTTCCGCCCCGTGACGTCACCTCCCTCTCGCCTTTGTCCGTCACTACTTTCCTCCTCTCTACGCGGCGCGCTTTCCTTTCCAGTGTTTTGTCCGCAGGGGGACGGCGAGAGCTTTTCTCTTTCATGTAGGTACGAATGCTAACGCATTAATAAAGTCGCATATTGTCGAAGTATTACTAAACGATGATGTTTTCAAATAGCTTATCGCTTTCTCGGAATGGCATTAAAAATATTTGTGGCAACACTCGTGGTTTGTGCAATAGTTGCCCGTTTTTTTACGTCATTATTGGCCGCCAAAGCTACATATCTCACATCTAGGTATGCAGCATTTTGTGATCATGCCAGCGGAACCATCGGGTGTGCCACTGAAATACACTTTTATGCCACAACACCTCAAGCGCCTCGGTTACCGAACCCACCTGATTGGAAAGGTACGTAATTATTTCTATATAACGTTTTTAACCTAATAACCGTTGGCAGTGAAAGTTTCCCCTTCCTCCCCCCTTAATTTCTAAAAGTCATAATTGGAGATAATCAAAATGATTTGTGGATTAGAGTAACATCGCCAATTGTTCCAAACTGGTTTTTACTTGACAGAGAATTTGTTTATGTTCGCTAAGTTTAAACATCTAAACTCTCGCTCTCCGTTTTCCGACGTTAAGCAAAGAACTATCTTAGCAGCATATTTAAAAGGAATAAGTATATTCTAGTCAACGAATAAATGATATTCAAGCAGAACAGGGCCTTTGTCATCTAAGCTCCTGGGGAGGGGTGCGGACTATAATATAAATAATTCAATATGCAGATATATAAGCAAGAAATATTAAAACAAAACAGGTGGTGCATTGAGTGAATAAATAACCATATAACTAAACAATAAAAAAAACCAAAAAAAAATAAGCTAGACAGATATGCGTTTTTTGTCCGAAGCATAAAGGCCGTCACTATGGCAACGGACACCGATTTTCCAAACGCCGTCTCCTATCCAAAGTTTGATGTTTTTTTAATTAGCAGCCGCATACTGTCGGCCCGAAGGCACGCGAACCAGGCGGGGTAGTGGGTTAACACGTTCCCCAGTGATACGGGCCGTCCGAAAAGGTCATTCCGCGTTCGTTGCCATGGTGACGGTGATGAAAGCAGACAGCCTTTTTTCTGTGGAAGAACACTGCAGCACTGCGATACGAGGGGAGTGCTGAGGCGCTTTCCGCATACTTTTCAATGGGTGGAACGCGAACAAAAAGAGTACGAAATAAGGACTTAACCCAGAAGGCTGGTTTTATCCAGCACCTCATGACCCGACGAGCCTTGCACGAAAAGCGTATTTTTGAACATCCCGCACCCTATTTCTTTTGTTTTTTTCAAAGCGTACCATGGCCCTCAAGTGTCAAGTACCGAGTTCTTGATAGTAGCAGAATTCTAGTTTACAAATGTAATAATGTTCTCCTAATGTGAATGCGCGGCTGCTAATATTTGTCACATAATTCTTCGGAATCTTGCACCAGACGCAAAATCCTTCCAGAATAAACAAGTACACTGTACTACCATCTGCAGGAGGTTTCACGTACGAGAAACGCCAAGACGAAAGCGTACTAGTCAGAGGAGTGAATCTACTTTTTGATGTAGTATATTTTGTACTCACGATAATAATTTAAGTGGCAGCATTCTCCATGCTCATCGATTGTTAGATTCTGCCCGCCATTTGATTGGCATTGTGATTACGAGAATTCTTTTACCAGCACAATCACACGATCAGATTAACGCAGAATCTGTGTGAAATCACACAGAATTCATACTGATTCACACCAATAATTGAAGAAGAAACAGGACCACGACCAACAAAAAATGATTAACTGCAAACAAGAATATGCTTCCTCAAGTGCATGCTTTTCAATACGATTCAACAATTTCTCAGGAACTAAGAAACGACCTCTCATGCAATTACTTATACTATAGGGGTAAAAGGAACACCAACCATTCCCTAGAAACTAGGGGCCCAAAGTTTGAAAACCGTCTTGGTTCTTCTTCATGGGCGGCTATAATTCTTTAAAGAGCTAGAGCAACTTCTTCTACTGTTGGGGTGATATTTTCTTTTTCTTCGGTATGTGGCATAAAGGGTTTACGTATACGGATAATAAAGCGCCCAGGAATTTATTGATATTGCAGGGCCCGCTTGCTCGAGGCCGGTTAACTTTAGCTGCGGCAAATGGTTAACCGCATTTTCATACAAGGAGGAATTTTAGGTCACGTGACCGGCAGAGTAAGGACGGGGGGAAAACATGGCCGTGCCCCTGCGAGCGAGCGTCGCTCGCTTTGGAACTAATATGTCGTAGTAGCTGCAATATCGGGCGCGTTAGTTAGCAATGAATGGTGCGGGAGCCTTCCGCTTTGCCTTACCTCACCTAAGTCGCAAAGCGCGAGTAATGACGTCGCCGCATTTTTAGATAGTCTTTCGATTCTGGTAATTTCTAAGCCTAAATGGGCGCGGTAATTGTCGACATGGCAACATCTTTGGAATACTATATAGACCGATCCCACCAGCCAGTTTGACTACGCCACCGCTGCCGCAATGCATCGAGGAACTTTAGTGTTTCTGCACGTGCGACAACTTCGCTGAAGCTGAGCACGTCTAGAGCATGAGGCGGGACGAGCCGTCCTGTGCACTGCTGCCTGCCTCCTGTGAACTAAAGTTATGGCGGCGTCACGCATGCGCCGAACGCTTGGTGAGATCGGTCTGTTGGATTGCCTTGACTCAATCGTACGGGTATTGATAGCACGCAGACACAGACATTGTTCCAATAGACCTTTTGATAAATTTCCCAAGCACCGGGGTGCATGTTGCGTTCAGGCGTCTGCTGTAGCCTTCTAGCCACCTAGTGACAAAGCCTGGCAGATCGCCACGAGAAGCGGCCGCCGAAAGGGAAAAGGTGGAGCGGTTAAAAACGAATGAGAGGAGAGCCACGTGACTAGCGCCCCGCTGCGCCAAGACGCCGAAACACACTTCTCGCGAGCGAACAAGTGTGTTTCGGGTCCTCGCCGCTGCGAAAGCTGAGCGTTGACGTCCAGGTTCCCCGAGAAATGGCTCTTTGATGCTCTGTGCTACCAGATCCCCGCGCTCTCAATCTGCGACCGGGCACTCTATGGCTTTGTCATCGAACTACCAGCTTTGTGAATATAAAGGAGGCTATGTCTAACACAAATTTTGCCTTGCACGCGCGGTCGTCAAAACTCTATTATAATTATTTATTTCGAATCTTCTATACGGGGAAAGCGGGAACGCACGCGGAGTGTACAATTTAATTTTCACCATTCTCCTCGATGCTTGAGCAATTTAGTAACAGGTCCATTTTTACTGGAGTCGAATTACACGCTTTTCACTTTGTGATGGTTTGATGTACAGTTTTTACATGCTGGCCAACCATGCTGCCGGAATACCGCCCTCCTTTCACTGTTCACTCCTTTGCAATTGTTTCTAGGACTGCACTCCGTTGTCCTATTGCGAAATCGGAGGGAAATTTAATCGAGGATTGTCTTCACTTCAGACAGCCAAACATTTAGAAATTTTCCAAAGAAGGGCTAATTTAGTTTTATCTTACCAAATATCTGTACCACGATCAACAAAAAGTGTTTTTTAAGCTTGGATGTATGCCGCGCTTTATCCCGGAAACCACTTCAGCACGCGTTCTTGGGTTCCCTTATTTGGGAACATTTGCACGAAATCCACTTTCATTCGCTACAACGAGTGGGTGACACCAGCTACCACCCCATAATAAAATGCGGCGATATCGCTCATCCAGCCTTCGTCAAACTTGGCTGGGTACTTGTAGGTACCCAGCAGGGAAGGGCGGTTATCTTTTTGCAGCGGTTAAACTTAACCGGCTTCGTGCAAACGGGCCCTGGTGTATTTTGAATGTGGCACGATTCAAGAAAAAGTATCTGCCGGGATTACTCGCGACATCAGAGATGCACGTTCTCCTAGTCGAATTTGCGCACGTCGTTTTTGTGTTGGCGAAGCGTTGCGTAGAATTTTTTTGTTTCGCCGTTGTATGTGGCGGCGCAATCAGAGTAGGGAATTCCGCACTTGACTCCTTGCTTCTCTTCATTAGGGGAGCGATCTTTAGGCCGTGGCATTAGTCGTTCCAGTGTTGACATAAGCTTGTGGGTGAGCTGAATTCCATCTTGTGGCAGCACGTGTTTTAGTGCCTCACATCTACCCTTTATAAAGGGAACGCGGATGCGTGTAGTTTTAGTGTTGTTCTTGAGCGCGCCGATGAGTTCGACCTTGACTTCGGGTAACTCGATAAATAAAGGCCTCGCTAAGCGCGTGCTGACGACAGCATTCACCAAATTTGTTTCGCACCATCAAAAGTGTTGCTTGTGGCAGACAATAAGGTACTGAACACGTGGACAACGCTGTGTCAACGCTCCACTGAATTTGGGAGCCAGCATTAAATCTGCCATGACCATTTTTTTATCACGTTTTTTTTGTCTATCTCGGATAAGCAGATACCCATCGCATTGGAGAGGAGTGTCGATACCACCGATGCTTCGTGACTCGTCAGATTGCTCGCGTCAAACCGGAGGTAACGTCGTGTGTACGTTGACTTCCGGTATACACAAATATTGAGTTCTTCGTATCTTTGTATCGAGGAAAGGCAGTTTGTTGCTGTTCTCCTATTCCACGGTAAAGTAAAAGGCGGGCTCGATAGAGTCGAGGTTTGCGAGAAAGCTGTTTATTTGCGACTTCTTTAAAACACAAAAGCAGTCATCGTCGCAGAGGAGGAGCACTCTAGGGCTTGCAGAAAAGGACTGCTGGGCCTTTCGATGTCTTTCCTGGATATGTCTGCCATTGTAAAGGGAGTAGATGTGCCCATAGGCGGTTCCGCTTCTCAGCTTGAAGTGTTCTCTTTTAAAACTTTAGTACTGTACGTACTGTTGAGGCATAATTCGAGGAGTCGGCACAGTTCATCCGCACATAGTTTTGCTCTCTCCGTTCCGGTTCTTATCTCACTGCAGGGCAGTTCTGGACGTGTCAATTTTCAGATGAACAGGAACGCCTGTGAAAAGAGAGACCACGTCGAAAGGCACGAGGGTATTTTCAGCGTTGACTTTTCTTTGCGAAACAAGTTCCACAAAGTGGCGGCGTTACGTACATAGTTTTTTGTTTGTCCAGCGAGAGGAGAAATTGTGCGATGCAGGTAGTTGGATAGCTCTAGAAGCAGCGAGGTCGAGAAGTCTTCTAAGGGCCTCAGAGAAACGTTTTACTTATGAATTTTCAGACAGTCTGTAGAAACCTGGCGCAAATCCGTTCCTGCAGACACCGACTTCGTGAAAAGACTTCAAGAACAGGTGCATCCTTTGCGTCGAGAATAACCTCCGGTAGATACTTTCTATTGACTATTGGAACATTCAAAATACACCGGGCAACTACAATAGTTTCCTTGGCACTCTACCATCCCAATGCATAAACGCTCTACGTCGCATAACGAAGAAAAGGAAAATATTACCACCAGCATTGAAGAAGTTGCTGCACTTCAAAGAAGTATAGCCGACCCTGAAGAGGAACCAAGTCGTGTTTGAAACGTTGGGCCAGTGGTTTTAAGGGATTGGTTGGTGTTCCTTTAATTTCTAATTTTTTACGCAACCATACAGATACCTATCAAATCTTCAGCGACAAGTCTTTAAATCGCTATAACGCGTGATGTACTTTAGTGATCCCAGTTCGTCAGTAGCATTGAACTGGCTATATTTACCCCTCGATCAAACCGTGATGTATTTTAGGCAGGTTATTTTCCTCTTTCTAAATTTAAAAATAAATGTATGTATAAGAAATACAGGTAGATAATTTGAATATTCTTAACCTAGTAGGTTTAAAATTAAGCAGGTTAGTAGTAGTGGCCATAGAGTTATTACAATAAACGCTAGAGGCTCAGGTGGCGCTAGTCTGCTGTTACAAATTGAAGCAGACAGCAAGCAGTCAGAAATTGACTTCCGGCAATGCATTTCTATGGGAAAAAGTGAGTGCATTTTCTCTCTGCGCTTGATTATCAGAGTAATTATCACGAATAATTTTTACGTACTAGGCACATTGGAACATTTCTCAGTCACGCAGACGAAATAATTGGTCAGTTACGGCGTTTTTATTTGAAATTCGTGGCATGAAAAACGGTGCTAAAACCGCTTCGTACGTGTATTTATGTGCACTGTCGGACACTGTTAGCGCGAACAACGCGTCGACGCTTTCCAGCATAAGGGATATACGTGCCAAACGAACGAAGGATATGTGGAAAACCAAGAGAGACGGCAAGAACTACGCAGTAACACTAGATAAGTAACTTCTTGTGCACGCTTTACTCTTTCTGCTCATGAATATGTGCGAAGATGATTGTTCTCGGTTCAAATCATCACCTGCCGCTCCAAATCTTTGCACATAGGGGGAGCCAGAGAGCAGGTGCCCGATAAAAACTGCCCGACATAGGAAATAAATATTAAGACTCACCTTTCGTAGCCTACGTGCTTTATTTTTTGCATTCGAATGTTTCTTTAACCGATCGTAAAGATGGACGATGGGGTCATTTTCATCCAATGACAGGACGGGCATATTAGCAATATATAAGCACCACCGAAATGCTAGCAAACCTTTAACACGCTCTACATTCATTTGGACCGTTATTTTGCTTAGAATCATCGCTCGTTTTCACATGCCTTCCTTGAAACAGAGATTTGGGCCTGAAATAGAGCGAAGTTTAACATTGTTCAGTGGTACAGAAAAATGCTGTAACTAAATCAATTACACTTTCACAATACCAATGAAGGTACATACTATCTGGTACAGCCGAAATAAGAAAAGTTATTCATGTTATTTTCCGGAGGCTGGAAATGTGGATTACATGCTGTCTGCTTCAATTTGCAACCGGAAGTCCCGTAGACACTAGCGCCAGCTAAGCCTCTAGCGTTTATTGTAATAACTCTATGGTAGTGGCATAAGACATGTAATAAACATATTTCTTGTTTTTTGCGCTCCGTAAGCTCAATATTGGTTACGAATGAAACAGAATCCCGTTTGAGATACGTTACACTTCAGATAAATAAGAGTTATTTCATGGGTTTGTTTTTTAGACGCCGTACTGAGCTGACACGTGGATTTTTCTCATGTAACATGTGCGCTTCTGATGCCGGGCTGTTTTGAAGTGTGATGCATTCAGGCTTTTTTTAATGTTGCAGAGGTTTTTAAAACAAAACACTCGTTTAAAACTGATGGTGTTAAGAGAACGCAAAATAAATTCATATTACTATTACATTATACAAATATATTATTTCGTTTAACAAAAATTAATTCCTGCTCTGCGAATAAGCCGAAATATACACGAGCAACTTATATCCCAAAATTATAGCTTCGTACAGACGCTTTATGTGGCTTCCAAAATTTTATTTTGGCCTTGTATGCGAGTAATTTTTTTGCGACTAATGAAAATGTTACAATTTGAAGTTTCTTTCAAAGGCTATTTTAAATATCATTCGGGATTTCTCGCACGAAACGAATAACGGAAACAAAACATCGGGACTTCTTCGTATTTAGAAGTTTTTGAAGGTATTCCAGTTTAATGTATGGGGGCCCCATTGGCGCTAAACGCTTGTGCATATCATTGCACAGAAGTGGTATTTTTAACGTTTAGGAGTTCAAGGAAAAAATATGAAAATAATTGTGAACTATTGTTTGTCCTAAGAATGTCACTCTATCTGATATCCATCAACCATCATAGGTTTAAATGGTTTTGAATGTGACATTGGACTGACTTATAAAATCTCATACGACACTTTTGTGTTGTTTTTTTGTTTTGTTCGTATTATGCTTTGAGCGCCATGTGAAGGCTCCACTATATTAAAAAAATTCAGGAAATTTCAAAGTATTCCAGCTTAAAATAGCGCTTCACCACTGCTTTTGAGATATGTCATGTCGTGCGGCACATGTCTATCAAATACTGAAATAATTCTTACATTAAACATTTCGTTGCAGTGGCATCTTGGCTACTATGATAGCAAGTATGTACCCGTAAACCGTGGATTTGACACATTTCTTGGATTCCACGGCCCCTCACTGGACTATTACACCCAGAACTTCACTCTTGTATGTTCATATAAAACGTTTAAAAATACAATCAATTATTGCCATTTCTTTTGAGCATACCGTGTAAACAATTTAACGTATGAGAACTAACACTTTGCTTTTATTTCTTCTAGGATAATCATACGGGACATGATTTTTGGAATGGTGACAACATTTACTGGGTCGACAAAGAAAAAAAACAATACTCGACACATTACTACACGCAAAAGACCATAGAACTAATTCAGCGTCATAATAAATCAACGGTGAGAAACGCACAATTTACTAATACATAAAAATAAAGATTTCAGTTTAGACAGGTCGTGGCCTGTGGTACACCTTTAATGATAGGTGTACCGCAAGAATATACGCCACATCGATCGTATCTACTATTGTTTTGTTGACATCCAAATAATAACGATGCATCGATGTATGAGAAATCTATGATATATGTTATGTTTCTTTAGGCTTCTAATTACAACAATTAGAACAATATTTATTGAATTCGTTCTGCAATTTCAGCCATTGTTCTTGCTCCTAACTCATCAAGCACCTCACGGGAGTGGTGGGCCCACGATTCTCCAAGTTCCAGAAAAGGGCGTTAGGAATTTTTCTTACATTAAAGAGGAAAACAGAACATTATATGCAGGTTCGTATAAAATATCGTATTCTCACGCGTGCGGTCATTAATGTTTCATTTTATGGACGTACATGTAAAAGTTTGTATAACTATTTTCGTGGTTCATTCAAAACTGATGTAGAATACATTTACATTCACCCGACCGTATCTTCTGCACAGACATCTTACGACTTCACAGCGTATAAGTCGTGAGATGGAAAACACCCTAGTTCAAACTGCTGTGTTAACTTCGCAGTCAGTTTTTCTTGTGCAGAGGGCATGGAAATGCAATGCTAATTATGCTACTTTCATGTATGCTACTTTCATGTATGTATTAGTTTTATAAAAATAATTGTGGTATATTTGCATGATAAAAAAATGAGGCCCAAAATGTTCACAATATTTCACGTGTTTTATGCTTCTAAGGTATGGTGGACGCACTGGATCAATCTGTGGGTCGCGTTGTGGATGCCCTGCAAAAAGCGGACATGTTAAACAACACGATTCTCGTGTTTTGTACTGACAACGGAGCATTACCCTGGGGATTGCAGTCAAATCGAGGCTACAATTGGCCCCTTAGAGGAGCCAAGTTCACCTTGTATGAAGGTGGTGTTAGGGGCACTGCTTTTATATGGAGTCCTCTTCTCAACAACTCGAAGCGGGTTTCCAGCCAACTAATGCACATCACCGATTGGCTTCCGACATTATACTCAGCAGCGGGTGAGTATTTATGAAATTGGGATGTAACTTAAATCTACATTGGTTTGCTCAGATTTCCAGTTTGTACATACTACATAATAACTTGGGTGTTTGTAATATGAGTCACAAATGGAATATTTGCTGTTTGGTTCTTCAAAAAATGCATATATCGAATTGAATGATTTGAGCTTACATTATGTTTCAAGTCTGGTTTCTAAATTGAGTGTTTACAAAACGTTGCTACGAAAATAAAATAAAACGAAGCAATGTATACAGAAAATGCTTTGTTTCTCGACAGGGATTCAAAACTGGGCGTCTCGCTCTCTAGTCTTATGCTACCACATCGACATCGAGATAGATTAGACGAGTGTCCTTACAAATGCTATGTACTGTTGTTGCCAAAAGAAGTTACCCCAGTGCATGGAGGGGTCACGTGAATTTTGTGATCAGGTAATCAGAGTTGGCTACATCATCACGAAATTAGAGATGTTACGAACATTTTCGAACTGAGGTATGAAATCGACTGGTTGACAATCCTTTGAACTTCTCGCAAATTTTGACAAAGTTCGACTTTTTAAAAAGTGTTTACAACTTCTAATCGAGATTTAGAACTTTACAAAATGCTTATGGTAATTTACCCCGTTATTGATGACTGGAGGACATGGCACTGCGCTCACGAACAACCGTTGCTAGGGTTGTTGTTATAGACAAATGATTGGGGGCTCGACGTGAGTTCAGAATTTGCCTTATATATAGTAAATAATGTATTGCAAGCATTTTGTCTTCTCAATACCTCATTATCAAGACCTTTTCTGTCGTCTCAGTGCCATAAAGCGATAATAAACGCCCGTAATAAAGTCTCACAACCGGGTTTGCCTTGCTAGCGGACGGCACGATGTCTTCGTAGGTTATGTGGTTCTTTCGGAGGGAGTACGCGACTGTTAAATTAGGTTTATAATGAGAGACGAAACTTCTACTTTTGGGGTCAACTTATTATGGGATTTCTGAAGTAGTGCCCGTGCACAGCTTTAAACGCCGCTCGAGGTACGTCAGCTCACGAACGCCAACCTGGAGATTATTTCGCAACATTTAGGAATGGTGAAAACATTGTTAAGCCCAATTCCGTAAGACGACGACGTGAAATGTTTCAGCATCGAAGTGCACGTCAGTACACGTTTCAAGAAGTCGTGACGGAACACGACTTCTTGAAATCAGATTTATTTTATCAAAGGAACTGTCTGTAATATATATATATATATATATATATACAGGGTGTTTTTACTTATTCTTTCAGATTTGTTTTAAAAAAAACGTGACAGCTACACTTATGCGGTTAATGCAGGAGATTTATACGGCCAAGAGGACATAGTATAGGGTGATAATCGCAACTATTAGTGGGTTAATTAAGTAAATTTGTTATTTAACTTTTTAATTACTGCAAATGGACATATAGTTCCAATTAGAAACTTGCTGAGCATCATCGAAAACCACTAAATCAACGCTTTTTAGAATGATATAACGCCGGGGCAGCATTTTACGGCGCTCTGTAAAAACGCTTCATTTGGTCGCGTTTCTAGATTTCGGTTTCTTATCGGAGCACATCTACGCGCCCGCGGTCCTGCTCCCCAGCGGCTGAGATGTGCAACACATGCGCGCCCTACTTCCTTCTGTTCTACGAGGGAGGCGAGGGGGTGGCTTCGCGCCCCCACCACCGGGGAGCGGGACCGCGGTCGATAGGAGGCGCTCCGATAAGAAACCGAAATCTAGGAACGTGTCCAAATCGAGCGTTTTTGCAGAACGCCGTAAAATACTGCCAAGGCGGTATATCATTCTAAAAAAAGTTGATTTAGTGGTTTTCGATGAGATCTCAGCAAGTTTCTAATTGGAACCATATGTGTAATTACACTAATAAAATGTGAATCAACAAATTTGACTTAATTAGCCGACTGAGAAATGCGACTATCTCCCTATACTGTGTTCCCCTGGCCGTATAAATCGCCTGCACAAACCGCATGATTGTCGCTTTCACAGAAGAAAGGTCAGGACAGTACACGATGAGAGAGCAAACACACGATTTATAGAGGCCGAGCCGGCCCGTGGGTCCTGGCGCGAGATGGTCGCGCGCGCCACTACCCTGTCGTCGTCGTCACCTTCCTAACAATATATATATATATATATATATATATATATATATATATATATATATATATAAAGAGAGAGAGAAAGAAAGTCAGCTAGATTTTTTTGGGTCAATACTTTAGCTTGGGCGAGCTGGTGAATCAAGCTAGCACTTCATAGCGCACAAAAACAACACACTATAAAAATACATAAACACAAAGAAACAATTCTCACGCAGCGCTGCGTGAAATTTATTTATTTCTGTCTATGTATTTTTATAGTATGTCTTTTTTGTGCGCTGGGAAGTGTTAGCAAGATGTTTTTCTCAGTGTGATGGTTACAATCAGGTACGACGCACACCTAGATTGGGAGCGTCGAACACGAAGTTTGGGGTTTTGAACAAATCATGTTAGAGTAAAAATTATTACTCCTTTGTCTCAATACAGAACAGCTGCAAATTAAAAAAAAAAATGACCTGACGCAGCTTTGATAACATGCTCTAAACAGATACTTCTCTCGGTGTATTTTCGCAGGTCTCCACACGTGTTATGATTTTAGCCAGACAATATCCTGTTATCTAACGCAAACGCAAATAGTTTTTATATACCAGAAAAGGTCTTTTAGAGCGCAGCTCTTAGGGGCCCGTTCCCGGCTTGAGCGGCGTCGGCGTCGCCGTCGGCGTCGGCGTAACCAAGGTCATCCCAAGGTCACGTGGCCCCCAAGGTCATCCCAAGGTCACGTGACCCCCAAGGTCACGTGACACCCAAAGTCACGTGACCCCCCTGAAGTCACGTGACCTCCCCGATGACGTCATCGCCACTGATGACGTCATCGGCACTGATGACGTCATCAGTGATGATGACGATGACGATGCGGATGCCGGTGACGTCATCAGTGACGATGACGTCATCGGGGAGGTCACGTGACCTCGGCGGGGTCACGTGACCCTGGGGGTGTCACGTGACTTCGGGGGGCATCCGCATCGTCATCGTCATCATCACAGATGACGTCATCAGTGACGTCACTGATGACGTCACCGACATCCGCATCGTCATCGTCATCATCGCTGATGACGTCATCGGAGTCCGCATCGTCATCGTCACTGATGACGTCATCAGTGACGTCACTGATGACATCATCGGCATCGTCACGTGACCCCCCAAGGTCACGTGACCCCCCCAGGTCACTTCACCCCCCAGTACCCTTCCCTCTTCCTCAAGAGCTGCGCTCTAATTCGGTGTTACAGGGAGTTGTAAACAGCTTTCACTTTTTAGATGTACACCCAATAAATGCCCAATCAAATTCGTACACGGAAACGATTCAAACTTGCAGACGGCATACTTCATTCATTCTGGATGCCTTCGTCGTCTACAGAAGGTACCTGAGACGTCTCAGAGGCAACAATTTATGTAGCAAGTATTTAAGGGACAGCCCATTCTCGGTAAACTTCTCTCCTGTAAAGGCCCGTTCACACATTTGCGTTCGGAGCGACCACTATGCTTACGAACGAATGCAACCGCTGTGACTTCAACGACAACTGTGCGCGACGTGTACACACACATGCAACCACATGCAACCACACGAATCAACAGCCAATAAGAAACGAGCTTCAGCTCTTGCTCCTAGCCAATAGGAAGCAACCCAGCTACGCTTACAAACATGGAGGACGGTTTCGTGCCAGACGCGGGGTAGCGGGGTGGCGGGGTCCTCACCGGAGCAGCCCGAAATTTCGGCCACGGCGTACAGTCACAAAGATCTGCTGTGCGCCTACAATAGCTGTGTAAAGGCTGGTTCAGACATCTAAAACGAACCCGTTATCCGCGACTGCGTCCGTTGTGACCAGAGCGACCGGAACGATCGCTCTGCGCCGCGCTACCACTCCTGCTACCACTGCAACAAGCGCAGCGGGTCGGCAGCACGGCGACCGCCTCTCCGTTGGCGTCAGCTGTTTCAGCGGTGCCTCCAAAAAGAAGGAGACGCGCTGCCACTTACTTGCGTAACAGAAAATAGACAGACCGTCTTCTATGACCTCAAGCTTTATTACTCTTTTTTTCAGGATACGCTTGCAGGGTAGTGCATTAAAAAAAGAAAAAGATGCAGTACGCCGTCTTGCACGATCACGACTTTAATGCACGACTTTGCCAACCGTACAAATCTCGCCACACGCCTTTTCTACGATTATAAAAGACGATGTAATTTTAGCAATGATATAGCAACATAGAAATACAAAATGACAGACGATGCGAGCTTTCAGGATTGCTAACCCTAATCACCTTTTTCGGGCGATGAAAACGAGTAAAAAATTCGCATCCTTTGTACGGTACGCACTAGTAATACCTTGAACTTGCGCACACGCAAGGAATGCGCCAAAAAATAAATCCGGGTGATGTTTGAGGACACAAATGCTAAGAAAGCACCACTGTAGTCGAAGTAAACAAACACGACGGCACAGGCGTTTCTGCTGTCTTGAGAGTGCCGCCACGAGGTCGCCGCACAAGAAGGTGGATCTTCCCTACTAGTACGTGCTGGGTTATCATAACGACACACGACGAAAATTCACAGTCAAGGATAGCGCTTTTACGGGGAACGATGAGCGTTTACCACGCCGTCCATGTCGACGATCACCACCGACGCCATGTTTGCAAATAGTAGGAGCCTGGCACGACCGGCATGCAACGCGCGCGACCGAGCTCCTCGACCTGTGATTGGTCTGTCGCTCCCGTCGTTCCCGAACGTAACGAAAAAGTTCAGCCCGGCTCAACTCCTTGCGTTGCGAACGAACACGAACGAAACGACCGTTTGGCGCTTCGTTGCTATGGTAACTCGTCGTTCCAACCGGTTGCATTCGTTCGTAAGCGTAGTGGTCGCTCCGAACTCAACTGTGTGAACGGGCCTTAAGTGTAAGATTTAGGTGTCCTATACCTATTCATTTCCGACGTTTAAATTCCGCGCCCAAGTTTTGAACGATGTCATTGTTGTTTGTCGATATCACAGTTTATTTCCTCCGGAAATGTACTTTTTAGTGAGCGTGCCCTTGCTTTGAACTGTTGTTGCGCGTTAGGAAAACGAGCATGTTGATATTCAAACGTTGCAGAAACCTCAACGTGCGAAGCTTTGTGGTGGGCGAGCGCGTTATAGGAACCGTCCCCGTCACTGTTCGTGGCAGATTATTTTTGAGGGTGATGGAAATATCGTCTTTGCGCTTTGCCTGGCAATTAGTGCTCCAAAAAAGGGAGCCGCGCAAGGTGACCGTCAAGAGCAGTGTTCACAGCATTGATGTCTTCGTGCCACAGGCTCGCAACTCGCTGCTCACCGTCTCGATTTTAGTGTGTTGCAACACGTGATTCAACTGCTCTATGGTTATTTGATAGGAAGTTTGTTACCGCAGGCTATCATGCGGTGTAGCATTACAATAGAAAGCTCGCACTGCGCCTTTGAAGGACTATTTTGAGCGCGCGCCAGGAGCGTTGCCGTGTTCACGGTAGCCAACGGTAGCGCGCGGTAACGCTATGCTAAAACTACTTATGAACAGACTTGGTGTGTATAGGGGTTTAATTTATTGCTCTATCAAAAATAAATAGTTCAATACTATACCGCACATTTTTTGTACCGTGTTATTTGCAACGTCGCGGCCCCTCTCGCCAAAACTGCCAGTCTAAACTGTCGTCACGAACGGCTGGCTAACACAAGCGCTTGAAAAACTTTGATCATTTCTTATTTGCTTTGGAATTAACTGAAAGCAAGTACGCGTATTCTGTCTTTTGAAAGGGCTTGGAATAAATGGTCATGTTTCTTGTAACGGCCTAAAAACCCGAACTCATTCCCGAAGTGTAGTGCTCGACATACCGTTGCGCGACCAGTTTTGTCCTACTTAGGGCAACGAACAGACCTTTCGTAGACCGTACGCTACAGCTCTGCATTACTAGCGGGAGCGTTGGCCGTTACGTGGAGCACAGATTGAGCTGGCGAACACAAGACCAGAAATCTGCAGCGTATGCGATATACGAAATTTGAGGGCGTCACTAAACGCCCTCAAAGATGGCGTCCAGTGCCGCGATAATTGAGAGGGAGTCGGAAAAAAACTAAACATATTTTAAGTAAACTAAAGATAAATTTCAGATCACGCTTTTAGTGTCATATGAAAACGTTAAGAATACCTTTATTTTAGCTTTTTTGTTCTTGTTATATTCAATCACACATATACATGTACCAATAAAATTTTGCCATCCTGCGGCAGCAAGAAATGTGAAATATCGTAATGACGCGAAGCCGAAGCGCTACGGAAAATAAAGACAAGTTTTCTTGCTAGAGGCACTGCCCGAACTAGGCCCAAAATTATAACATATTTTGTAGTAAATGTATAGGCGCCGCCGTCGTGGTACGGTCGGGACTAAACATTTAGCACGAAAAATTGTAAACGACCGCACAAAGTGTCCTGTGATTGGCAGCGGTAGCTGCTGCATTGCGGAAAGGCACGTTGAAGGAGATTTGCCTTCAGTCTGTGTGCTGTACAATGTTTGCAATGTGTTCTTTTCACTCAGCGGAATTCATGTAGGAGACATTTTGGTGTATTTTATGAAGACTAAACCAAACGAATAAAATTCTTAATTGTTTAAAGCAAGTCAAGCATTTCTTTTTGTATTTTCCCAATTAACTAATTAATTAAGAATAATCAATGATCTTTTCAAATATTCACTCAAGAACAGAAGTTCCAATGACAGCGCGGTAAGGCATCCTCAGAAACATCCAAATGGGACTTCATTTGTGTTTCCAATACTAACTCCTACCGCTGTTAGTAATGCAACACCCCGAGAACCAGATTGCCTTGCGGTAGCCATTTTTGTAGTACTGGGAAGGGCAGCCGACAACAGCCACTTTCCAGGCGTGCTTTTAGAACACCTCTACACTTTTGCAGGCTTTCACCGACCGTGCATAAGTGCGCGCAAGGTGTCTTTTTTTTATGGTTTAGATCGATCACTGCCTGCCGAAGCTCTCCTGATGCCAAAATTTGGGGACGGTAGAACCGCTCTCTATTTTGGTACGTTCGTGACAATGCAACCCCGCGTTCCAGTTCCGTCCCAATTTCGTGGATGACTTATGATGATCTCCTTTAGCGGCGATTGTACAACACTGGGTGTCTGATTGCAGCTTCCATGGGAATTGCTTCTTTCAGGAGGAAATGTGTACGACCTCGGAAGTATTGATGGAGTCGATATGTGGGGTGCATTACGTACAGGAACTGAATCCAGGCGTACAGCTGTGGTGCACAACATCAATGGCAGATTAAACTACTCTGCTATTCGGGATGGCGATTACAAACTGATTGACGGAACATACAACGAAAGCCTATTTGACCAGAGGTTTGAGAGTGTTGGAGGCAAGCGCCCGTACGATGACCTTGACATATTGATGAATAACTCCATGGCTGCCAACGCGTTGAGGGCCTTTTATAAAAAGAAGCATCTGAAGTACCGTGAAAACTGGAGAAGAGACGCCAAAATTGACTGCGGTAACAAAACCTCAACTGTGGACATTCATCAGGGGAGATTCTACTTGTTTAACATAAAGGAAGATCCCTGCGAAACGAACAATTTGGTAAAGAAGCCAGAACTGGTAAGTAAGCTTTATAGTTATAGAGTGACAATAGTACTCGGAGTAAAAAATGGTTCATAAAAAATGGGGGGGGGGGGGGGGGATTGTTGCCTGAATTATATTTGTTGCTTTTCTTCACAACACACATTACATTATAACTTTTCGGAGGAAACGGTAGTTTGAAATCCTTGGGCTGCTCTCTTAAAACCGGGAAAGATGTAGAATAAATGGACACCAGGGCCCGTTTGCTCGAAGCGCTAACCCCGGATAAAGTTAGCCGCAGTACCTAGGAGAGGGATTTTGAGATCACGTGACTGGCTCGGTAGGGATGCGGGGAAACATGGCGGTGCGCCAGTGAGTGAGCGCCGGTCGCTTTGGAACTAATGTGTCGTTGTAGCTGCAATATCGGGCGCGTTAGTCAGCAATGAATAATGCAGGAGGATTTCGCTTTGCCTTACCTCACTTAAACCGCAAGGCATGGGCAATGACATCGCCGCATTTTTTAGATAGTGTTTCGATTCTGGGCATTCCTAAGCCTAAATGAACGCGATAATTGTCGGCATGGCAACGTCTTTGGAAAGCGGATTGTTGATAGCACACAAAAGCAGACAGCGTCCCGACAGACTTTTTTTTTCTAAATTATTCATGCATCGCGAGGAGAATGCTGGAAGTGTAAATCTACGGTTCACGCGCGCTGGGCTTCCTCTTATAAAAGATTTGAAGTAAAAAATCATAAATAAGGCTTTAACGAACGCGCGTGCAAGGCAAAATTTGTTTTGTACTTTTTGCTTTAGAACGGTTGCTACTGCAGACGCCAGCACGTCCGACGCGTGCAACTACAGTCGTAGCATGCACCTCGGTGCTTGGATAATTTAGAAAAAAGGTCTGTTGGGACGCCGTCTGCTTTTGCGTGCTATCAACAATACGCTTTCCAAAGGTATTGCTATGCCGCCAATTATCGCGTTCATTTGGGCTTAGGAGTGCCCAGAATCGAAACACTATCTAAAAAATGCGGCGATGTCATTGTCCATGCTTTGCAGTTTAAGTGAGGTAAGGCAAAGCGAAAGCCTCCTGCACCATTCGTTGCTGACTAACGCGCCCGATATTGCAACCACAACGACATATTAGTTCCAAAGCGACCGGCGCTCACTCACTGGGGCACCGCCATGTTTCCCTGTATCCCTACCGAGCCAGTCACGTGATCTCAAAGTCCCTCTCCTAGGTACTGCGGCTAACTTTAGCCGCTGTTAGTGCTTCGAGCAAACGGGCCCAGGTTTGCTTTATACAAACAGCCCGTTTTATCAGTTTGAATAAAAAATAACGGCGAGTCAGTGCTAAACATCAGTAAATTTTCTGCCCAAATAGTTTTTTTTTTTGGACAGAGTTGGGTGAATCGAAACGCAATGCTCACTTTCCCCATGCATATTGCATTGCTGGGCAGGAGGCAAGCTGTTGGTCTTGTCATTTGCTTGGGACTTCAAACCTCATCATTTGTTTCGTTATACAGTTATATTTCTTTAAGACTTCGTTCTGTCTTAAGTCGCAGTTATCGCCAGATCTGTGATGCCGTCTCGCCACGTCTTTGCTATCGGCAAGGCTTTGTCAGCTTGCGGCTTCCTCACCCTTGGAAACGTCCCGCGACCAGCTTTTCTGTGCGACAAAAGTCAACATAGGGTCACAATTAGTGATAATTGTTTACGACATTTTGCAATTCAAATAACATTATTTTCCTTTTACACAACCCATATATTTATGTGACCTTTTTCTGGGAAGAATGCGATGGTAGGAGGAGGGGGACGGTACACATATTTTTTAGTGCATAGTGCCACGACGTTGACGAACTGCTCGACCGATGATGCCGTGGTAGTGGTGCTTGCAACTTTAATGGCGTACCTGCTTGGCGTAATGTACACGATTTGAGTCTGTGGTTGCCGCTTCGGCAGTGAAAAGTAAGTAGCACGCATAAGTTTTGCTCGATTCTTGAGCTAAAACGGTATGGCAAAAGTCTGTAGTAAACAAATATTTAAGATATTTGTTTATAGATTGCTTTTAACCACCGTTATTTTAACCTTAACATCTCACGTGTTGCCACAATTGGTAACTTACCATGTGCAAAGCAGTTTGGGAGGAATGGCTAGTAAGTGGTGGAAGGAATGAAATAGCGTCGCATTCCTCTCTTTATTAGAGCGCAGCTCTTAGGGGCCCGTTTCCGGCTTAAGCGGCGTCGCCGTCGCCGTCGGCGTAACCAAGGTCACCCCAAGCTCACGTGACCCCACAGGTCATGTAACTTGCCCCCAAGGTCACGTGACCCCCCAAGGTCACCTCAAGGTCACGTGACCCCCCAAGGTCACGTGGCCCCCTCCCCGAGGTCACGTGACCCCCTCCCCCGAAGTCACGTGACACCCCGGGAAGTCACGTGACCCCCTCCCCCGAGGTCAGGTGACCCCCCGGAGCATATTAAAGAATGAGGGGAGGAGGAGGAGGGGTCTACCCTCCCCTCAGTACCCTTCCCTCCTCCTCCTCAAGAGCTACGCTCCAATTCGACGTTACAGGAAGATGTAAACGGCTTTCACTTTTTGTCACGATTGACAATCGATGAGGCGACGGAAACGTAAACTAAACGTTTAATGAAGCGAACTTGTGCCCAAAACAAGAAGGGAACAGAAGCTAAGAACAAAGCGTCGCGGGCGCCGAAGTCGGCGTAACAACAGAATCGGACGCTGGGCCGAGACTGACTCGGGCTCGCCACGCGGAGCACCTTTTGTGCCCGCGTGCGTCTCTGGTACATTCGGCTTGTAGAACATTTGTAGCTGGATCGCACGAGAAGGGTCTCGAACTTATGAGAACGCCAAGTAGAAAGAATAAATAAAGGAACATTCCACTCCCTGGAATCGAACCCGGATCCTTCGCGCGACTGAAAAGCTCGCTAATCACTCGGCCACGCACGCGCTCGATCGGCGACGCATGTGACATTATAAACAAGTGTGCTCTGACTAGTGTATCAACACCAAGGTTAATCTGCAATTATGGTGTACCACCTAAATTTATTTCATATTGCATTCAGTCTCGCAATTAATTGTTTTGTGTAAAATGTTTACGATTCTTAATTCCCGGTTCAAAACCACGAGCAATCGGAAGAAAAAAAAAATGCGGCTGCAATCGGGTTTCTTTTCTGATGACGACCCGTCTCCTCATAATACTCACTACTACAATTTTTGGCTCAATCTTTCATGTGTCTAATTCTTTCCTGGAGGAAGGGTGGAATGGGACACGTTGGTGATCTCGCAATATATGTATATATATATATATATATATATATATATTACATTCCTAGAATGGCGCTCTTTGAAGTACTGTTCGGCTGATGTGTAGGTTGTTTCATGCCTTTTTTAGGATCATGAGACCTGTTTCTAAGCGCTCATTAAACTACACAAAATATAGTGTTAAAACTGTCTATTAATTCCACTCCATCCTCCCCTAATTTTTAACGTTTCTTTGGGTAAGTATTTCTATATGTATTTTACTAGTGGGTGTCCTCTTTTACCTTAGGATATGACGTTAGTTTTTTGCGAAAACTGCACAGTATGTTAAATTTAAAAAAAATGCCTGGTTTATTAAAACACAGATAATTTCATTTGAAGCAAATCACCTTGCTTTATAACTGCGCTTTGTTTAGAAGCTTAAAAAAGTAACTTTTATTTGGTGACCGTTCCTTATGTACATATCACCAAACACCAAACTGAGATAACAAACTGAAGAGCACTGCCTCACAAACGACGGCATGGCCACTAAAAGCAAAACCGGTCTGCGACAAAATGTATTAAAGGCGTAGCACCTTCGGATGTAATGACTTGCCTCTGAGTGTTTTTTTTTTTTGTCCTTTTTATAAGTTACTTTGTCGGTTCCAATCTTTCCTGCATTTACTAGCAAGAGTCTTCTAAACTTCTAAACGTCTAGACCTGCACATTTGCTCGCGTGCTCGTCATTTGCAAAACACGCAAGAAGTGGACGCTTTTCCAAAGACGGTAAAATTAGACACCATTTTTCTCAACACGCCACTTTTGTATAAATAAGGGAAAGTCATGTCTACACATTTTTTAACTGTGACCAACACTCCAACAAATTCAGGATTCGGGAACGCAAGCACCCTTCTTGACCAAAGGGCCATGAGCCGCTTTAGAGGGTCACTGACACCCTCTAAAAAATTGCTTTCCTTTTTTGTCAGGCGATTTATTATGATGTCGGAAGACTACCCAATTAATATTTGCAACAGTGTCACGTGTATTTTTATTAAATTCAAATTCAAATTCAGATCCGTTTATTTTTGCCACAAACGGTACATTTGTGACAGGGGCGCTGGAAAAAAAGCTGCAGGTCTACAGCTTGACGAGTCCCAGCGCCCCAGAACAAGGTAAGAGCGGCACCGGCACATACAGACAAAAAGAACGAATATGTGCACACATACATAGGCATACACATATACAGAGGATAAACACGAGAAAAACAAAAAATTCAACTTTGCAATCAACAGTATACAAAAAAGTGGTGGTTACTTATTATAAAGCTTCTTGAATGGAACAATGACTAATGGAGTGCATCTCAATATCATGGGAAAACAGGGTGTTTAATAAAAGTGGTAACTGGTGGCGATATCTTTGTAGACCAAAATTTGTCCTTAAAAAGGGAATACGCCAGGGGGGCCTACGTCGCGATGGATATACAGACTCGTTTGCTTCTAGATTACCAAGATCTAAAGAAATGACATTATTTTCTCTTACGGATCGTTGATAATTAGCTATCAGTCTATGTGCATACAAATTGGTTATATCAATGACTTTATGTTTTTCAAAAAGAGCAAGGGAATGATAGTCACGCGGAACATTTTCGATTATCCTGAGTGCCTTTTTCTGTAATAGGCGTAATTTGTTAATGTTGCCCTTTGTAGTCGAACCCCATACCAGGTGGGAGTAGCAGAGCACAGGGTAAAACAGAGCATTGTAAATTAGCTTTTTAATATTTAC